AATATCCTATTACATCTCATGCTTCTAGGACACTATTCCCAACAAATATAACTAGGAGGTTAATCAATGCATACCTGTTCTTCCAAGTCTCCATGCAAGAATGTATATTTCATGTCCAATTGGAAGATAGGCCATGAGATTTGTGCTGCCAATGCAATCACCAATCTGATTGTGTCATGCCGAGCAACTGGAGCGAAGACTTCTTTGTAATCAATGCCGAACTTTTACTTGTAGCCTTTTGCGACTAAGCGAGCCTTATACTTATCAACTTCACCGTTCTGCTTTAGCTTTGTCTTGTACACCCACTTCACACCAATGGTCTTTTGCCCTTTCGAAAGCATTGTCAACTCCCAAGTATTATTTCTTTTAATGGCTGTGATTTCAGCACCCATCGCCGTTCGCTACTTCTAGTCTTTAACAGCATCTTCAAAAGCTACAGGATCACAATATGAAAATAGAGCAAAGTGTGTAAGTGGGTCTTCAGTTTGATCAATCCCAGTTACCTCATAATCAATCATCCAAGCTGGTATTCTTCTAACTCGTCGAGGTCGATGATCATCTTTTGCTTAAACTGGTGGATGTTGGTCGTTTTGCACGGGATGTGCATTCTCTAAAGGTTGCCGCCTTACATCTTCATTTTCTCCATCAAAATTAGCTTGCATTTGTTGTTCAACATTGTTTTCATCCCAAATCCAAAACCGTTCTTCATCAAACACTACGTCACGACTAATGCCAATTTTCTTAGTGACAGGATTGTACAATTTGTACACTTTTGACTGCGCACTAACACCAAGAAAAGTGTATTTTTCTCATTTGTCATCAAGCTTTCTTCTTTTCTGATCTGGAATGTGGGCATGTGTAATGCACCCAAAGATTCTGAAGTGATCAATACTTGGTCTTTGTCCATTCCAAGGTTCTTCAGGTGCCACGTTCTAAACAGCAAGTGTAGGATTTCTGTTTAGTACATGAATGCTCCAATTGACAACTTCGGGCTAAAAAATTCTTGGGATACTACTTCTTGTCAAAATAGTTCGCACCATGTTTAAGGTTGTACGGTTCTTTTTCTCCGAAACACCATTTTGCTGCGGAGTATAAACTGTAGTGAGCTGCTTTTGAATCCCATGCTCCTCACAAAAATTTATAAGAATGAACTATTACTTAATAAATATATACATAATAAAGTCAATAAGAATGACAATAATAGTTATGAATCAATTAATAAAATATCAAACATTAAGAAACGTAAAAGGCCGAAGCATGAATGATAAAATCGATAAAATTAATAGCTGGTCTATTTCTATAATAAATAGAATAATACAATAAACCCGTAGATGAATAGAGCATATGATATATTTGAAACGGTTTTATATCAGAACATCAGTTTAACAGTAATATGTTTTAATCATGCTATAATACCTATTAAAGAAGAACAATCCATTCAATGATTCATAACCATTACTGAATGAGTAGAAAATATTATATAACTCGTATCACGAGTAAAGATACAAAATGATAAACTAATGACCATCAAAATTATGGGCAAAACGAACTAAAAAGATTTGTCAGAATAAACATATAATAAGAATTAAACTATCAACTATGAGAATAAAATATATGCTCAACAGATGAACAATCACGATTACACAAATAGATACTTAAATCTAAATTACAAATACATCAATTCATTCTCAATAATGACATGCTGAAAAATAAAACACTGGAATTCATATTAAAAGAAATTTGGACCATATATTACCATTGATAAAATGTAGAGCAACAAATGCCTATATTATTAAAAAAAAAAGCTATATATGTTCGTTTAAAAGCTGTGCAATATAAAAGAAATATCAAAACCTAATATTATAGAGATATAATATGAGTCATGTATTTATAAAATCAGACACACAATGAATTACAGTAAATAAAATAAAAATAAAACGCTAGTATGTATGACAAAAATCACACTGATCATATCATGTACACAAAGGAAATATATGTTTACCATACCTTAAAAAAAATAAAATAAAATAAAAAAACTCCTTGAACCAAAGGTATGCAAGGTCTAAAGATGTCGTTTATTATACCTTTAAAAACAAAAAATGTCGTTTCTCAAGTCAAATTAACTACACGTCGTTTAACGCGCAGAGATGAGCGACATGTACAAAACGAAAACGACATGTAATCAGAAAAAAAGGGAAAAAGAAAAACCTAATGTATGATGAGAAATATTAGATGGATCCTACGGCAGAGAAGGAGGGAACATATGAACGAACGCTATGAGTGTGATTGTGGTGAGAGAGGCTTGTACAAGGAGATTAAATGGTGACCGTAGGATGACGACCTTATCATCTGGGCCGCTCCTTTTATAGAGGAGATTTAAAACTAAACAGCGCCGTTGCAAGAGGAGATTCTGGGGTGGTCTTCATCAGATTCTCTCGGTTATACAGAAGCAGCCATACGCCTAAACCCTAGCCAAAGGTAAGATTCTTGAAGCTCTTTTTCTATTTACTTCTGATTATTTGATTATTTATTTATTTAATTATCAATATCAATAAGGATTTTTGGTCTTTGAATCGATCAGATTGTTTTTGATCCGCATGATTTTTAGAAATGTTTGAACGACTATTCAAATTCACTCATTTCTTTTTTGGGAAAAAGAAAAAAAGATTTTTCCTGTGTTTCTAAGAAATAGAATTGGGCAGTGTTTTGCTGCTGAATATTATCGTTACGGCGCAAAGAGGTTGTTTTATGAGCATTCACCAGTAAACACTTTTGGGTCGTACTTAATTAAATAAATGAAGCCAATGGATTTGATTATCATTTCCAAGATAGCTTTGTTAATGCTTTCTTCTCTAAACTCGAATCTCTCATTTTTCTTTCTTTTACACAAACACCCTTTTCCAATAAGATTAAAAGTCTTCTCTTTCTTTTTTTTTTTTAATCTCTCGGAGCTGTGTTGCTCAATAGGTTAAAAAGTTCATTTCTTGTGTTTATATTCATTATGTATACATGCATGTGTCTGTATAGCAGGGTTTTTTTTTTTTTTTTTTGGGGGAAGAAGTTAATAAGATGTTTAATTAATAATGATTGGTATTATCATTATTATTATTATTGTTGTTATTATTTAGGTAGAGATGGGTGAAGAAGTGAAGGCTATAATCCCAGAGTCTGTTTTGAAGAAGAGAAAGAGAGAAGAAGAATGGGCGTTGGCCAAAAAACAAGAGATTGAAGCTCTCAAGAAGAAGAATGCTGAGAACAGAAAGCTCATCTTTAACAGAGCCAACCAGTATTACAAGGAATACGCCGACAAGGTAAATCCTGATTCAATTCGAACTGCCATTCATCATTTCTTGACACTGTTTTTATTATCATAGTAGATTCCTGAATTGTCTATTTCCCTTTTGTTTTTCAGGAGAAGGAGGTGATCCAGCTAAAGCGCGAGGCTAAGCTCAAGGGAGGGTTCTATGTTGAGCCTGAGGCTAAGCTTCTGTTCATCGTTCGTATCCGTGGGTATGTAGTGCTATTACATGTCCCTCTGATTTCACTCAGTCTCTCGTGTGAAGTTTTATATTTGCCCGCTCTTACCCCGTTGAAACAAAAACCTTTTTCAGTATTAATGCCATGCATCCGAAGACGAGAAAAATTTTGCAGCTCCTAAGGCTGAGACAGGTAGAATCTGGTTTCTTAATTGATTAGCTCACTCTAGTTAAATTCCAAAATTCAATTTTGAGATATTAAATTGGGTATTTTCTTATGTTTTAGTTTAGGGTTTAGGTTTGAACTCCTCAGCCTGAGGATTCATTGTTTTATATTCTCGCACAATCTGAGTAAATGTATTTGTAAATAAGTAGCATGATTTGGCTGATTTTTCTGTCCTGTTTTTCATTTTTAAATAGATATTCAACGGTGTCTTCCTTAAAGTCAACAAAGCCACCATGAACATGCTTCATAGGGTTGAACCGTATGTGACATATGGGTATGGATGATTTATTTAGTTTCCTGACAACTTCTCTGATCATTTTGTTGTTGTTTGTTGTTCCAACAAATTCTCATCTCTGATCAATGATCGTTGTGCATGATTCTAGGTATCCTAATTTGAAGAGTGTGAAGGAGTTGATTTACAAGAGGGGTTATGGGAAGCTCAACAAGCAAAGAACTGCTTTGACCGACAACTCCATCATCGAGCAGGTTTGTCGTCCTTTCTCTTTTTTGGTGGTACTATTTGGAGACACTCTACTAGTATGATCAAGTCGGCGAAGTTGAATATCAGCTAAGACAATTATCTGTTTACTGGCAAAAAAATTGAAGGCTTGATTTGTTGATTGTAGAAAGAAGGAAAGTAAACTTAGCTGGACAAGTCCATAATTATTTCTTATTTTGCTGACAGGCATTAGGCAAGTATGGAATCATCTGCACAGAAGATCTTATTCACGAGATCGCAACTGTGGGACCTCATTTTAAGGAGGCAAATAACTTCTTATGGCCATTTAAGCTGAAGGCTCCATTGGGTGGTCTGAAGAAGAAGAGAAACCATTATGTCGAAGGAGGAGATGCCGGAAACCGCGAGAACTACATCAATGAGCTCATCAGGAGAATGAATTAGGTGTTTTTGTCAAAATATACGGGCATCTTGGTTAAACTTGTTTTCAAAATTAGTTGGGCACAGTTTTATTTGATTTTTGTTTTATATGGTACTTCAAAGTATGAGATAATGGGATGTTGGAAAATTTTGGTTGCATTTAGATGTTTAGTTACTAAGCTAGTGTGGTCTTCTTTAATTACCAGCCTAAGAGTATGGAGATTTTTTTTTTTTTTTTTTTGGGTCCAAGCCTGGTGGCATTTCCATTATTTGTCCTAGTATTCATGGTTGATATTTTTTCTAATGGATTGATGATTGATATTGTCACTTTTTCATTTTACCAAAGTTTGTTTGGGATGTATTATATGGTTGTAGTCTTTGGTGTAAATAGATTATCATACATTAATCCAAGTCTTTTCGTCTAACCTATGTAGCATTGATGTCTTCGGTTTCATTTCAAAGCGTTGGTAGAAAAATGAACATTTAGACCTAATTTTGACATCAAAGTGAAATTGGGAATTGGAATTATTCAAAAGTGGTGTAGAGCCTAATTTACGATTCCCAAAATTGGGCAGGCAGGCATGATCTGATTCTGAGCTTCTTGGGCTTGAAAATGAAATGCAAATCTCAAATCCCTAAAAATAGATTGGGCACATAAAGGGCGGGAAGCAGAACATTTTGGTCCCAAAATTGAAAAATACGACATTGAAATTTTTGGAAACGTACAAGTTTTCCCACCAAATATTTCCAGCAAAAAAAAAAAAAAGAAAGGTTTTTCCACCAAAATAATAAAATGATAAGAAGATAGAAAATGACCAAAAGGACATTTTGACCAATGCTTTGCGCTAGAGAGCACGAGTGTAATTATATGTTTGTAAGGGGGCCAATTTCTGAAATTCAGAAAATAGAATATGGGGGTATAATCGTCCAGCGCTGGAAAAGGATAATTGAGAGAAATGGCGCCCATAGGATAGCGGAGGAATAAGAAAGAAAGATTTGAAATTGAAGGCAAATAGATAGATAGATTATTCCCTTTTATCTTTTTTTCTCTTTTTTTTCTTTGTTTGTTTGATTTCTGAATCTGTGTAAGCCGAGAAAGGAAACAAATCACTATCAGACAAAGCCGGCCCCGAAAGACACTCCCTTTCTCTATCAGTTTCCGATTTCCTTCAAAAAAAAAAAAAAAAAAACCCCAATAAACCCAAATTACTCTCTCTCTCTCTCTCAACTCTAAACCCTCTCATCTCTCTCTCTTTGTAGAAACTAGAAGAAGAAGAAGAAGAAGAAGAGGCGGCAATATATTATAGAGCTTTCAAGGTATTGCTGAGTTGCCCTTTTAATTTAAGTTCACAGTTCATTACGGATCTGAAATGCCCGTAAATGCTTTTTTTTTTTCCTTCCCTTCATGTTAATGAAAAACTTAAGTTTTTTTTTTTTTTTTTTTAATTCTTTTTGAGTCTCGGAATCTAAAGCTCTTATTATATACGCACAAAGTTTTTCTTCTGGCTAATGCATTTGAGTGTCAAAGAGTGCAGCAACCCAAAAAAAAAATAAAAATAAAAAAAATACTGTTAGTCGCGGATATAATAAAGCTCAAAATTTGAGATTTTTCAATTGTTTAGGTGTCCTCCTTGCTTTTTTGGCGTCGAAATTTATGTTTTCTTGTTGATTTTTTCCTTTTGTTTGGTAAAAGTTGAATAGCACAGCTCAATTTCATGATTAAAACTCTTACGGTCTGTTTGTTTTACGATTAAAACTGTTAGTTGACCCCGCTACGGTGTTTTTTTCTAAAAAAAAAATGAATTTCAAATACTAGAAAAAAAAATCATGAGTTTTTAAACACATGCACCAAAGGGGCCCTTAAAAATCTAATCTTTACGAACCTGTTGTGGAGGATTTTGCTTCTAATTGTCACAAGGTATTTAGATAATAATAAATCCAATTTTCTCTGGTTGTGTTTATTATTTTAGGTCAAGTATGGGAAGGAGCTTGAGTCCCATACTACGGAGAGAGCTGGCAAATCTGGACAAAGATGCTGATAGTCGCAGATCAGCTATGAGAGCGCTCAAATCGTATGTCAAGGACTTGGATTCCAAGGCAATCCCTCTGTTCCTCGCACAGGTTTCCCAGACTAAAGAGACCGGCTTGTCCGGGGAATGCACAATCTCCTTGTACGAGGTCCTTGCCCGCGTCCACGGCATCAAAATTGTCCCTCAAATAGACAGCATTATGGCCACCATTGTCAAGACATTGGGCTCAAGTGCGGGTTCTTTTCCTCTCCAGCAAGCGTGCTCTAAGGTGGTTCCGGCTATTGCTAGATATGGCATTGACCCAACCACCCCGGAAGACCAAAAAAGGCACATAATTCACTCCCTCTGCAGCCCTCTTTCCGACTCTCTCTTGGGGTCTCGAGAGAGTCTAACCTCCGGCGCAGCCCTTTGCTTAAAGGCGCTCGTGGATTCCGATAATTGGCGCTTTGCTTCCGGCGAGATGGTTAACAAGGTCTGCCAGATTGTAGCCGGGGCTCTTGAGGAGAAGCCGACACAAACGAATGCGCACATGGGCTTGGTCATGGCTCTGGCAAAACGTAATTCTTCTGTTGTTGAACCTTATGCCAGGTTGTTAATTCAAGCTGGATTGCAGATACTAAATGCTGGAGTGGCTGAAGGGAATTCTCAGAAACGTTTGTCTGCAATTCAGATGGTCAACTTTTTGATGAAGTGGTTGGATCCACGGAGCATCTATTCGGAGCTTCAGTTGGTGATTGATGAGATGGAGAAGTGCCAGTCCGATCAGATGGCTTATGTCCGAGGAGCTGCTTTTGAAGCCTTGCAAACTGCGAGGAGAATTTTTGCGGATAAAGGTTCTAAATTTGAGAAGAGTCCTGGTTCAGTCACTGGTTCAAATTTTACTCGAAGAGACCACAGCAGGAGTTGTTTATCGTCGACCCCTGGTGATCAATCTCCTGCATCTGTATCACTTGAATCACAGACCCTTGACTCCTTCGTCGAGTACGAAGGTTGGGTTGAGTCTCCAACCTCAACAAGGCAGGCTTCTCAGATGTTTGACTGTGACCGTAGAAGTGTGAACCGCAAACTCTGGAGTTTTGAGAACGGAGGAGTTGATGTGTCTCTCAAGGACGGTCTGTTCTCACAGATTGCTAGGGAAAGCACCATCTCTAATACGCTTTCGGAGCACTCTGGGGAGAATGAGTTTGGCAAAAATGATGGAGATCATGAAGAATTTGCAGGGTTCTTGCAGAAAATTCCAAGAAATGGAATATCAAAAAGCACCACAACCACTCCCCTCGTAAGTCGCCCATCTACATATCAACGTTTTACAGTTTTATTCTTATAGTAGAGACAATTCTAGCTGGTTTTGATAGGTATAGGGAATTAAGTGTAATCTGTTTTCTCAACTTCTTTGCTTGATGAATCTTGCATTCATAATTCATCAGAATTGCCAAAAGTTGGGGTTTATTTTCAGATATATTTGGTATTGGTTTTGAAAACTACAACGCTTCTATTCATCATTACTGCAATGCATCACCACACACTAAAAATTGGGTGCCACAATTTTCTTTATGACAGTTATATCAGTGATTAATAGTTATTTTTATGAGAGCTAATATATTTTGACTTTGTGCTCCAGAGGTCACGCACTTCAATCAATGTTGACAATATTATCTTCAAAACGCCGAGGAAGCTTGTCCACTCTCTTCAAGATACTAACAACATGAACTGTGACTGTTCTGAGAAGCAAGGAAGAAGGTTGAGAAGTTTATCCCTCAGTGATTTTGAGTGGAGCCCAGTTTCCAGATGTGACCAAAATTATGCCTTAAATGATGTGGATGTAGACTCCTACTTGAGAGCAAATGGAAGCGTATTATATGCGGATGGTGAGAAGCTGTTAGAAGGCAACCCTGAATCTGTGTCATCCACTGATGACATTCCGGCAGCTAATAATGTTGGCGAGAAGAAAATGTCTGATAAGCTAAAGGTGATTCAGGATCATAATAAAACTCGAGCTCAGAACTTTGGAATTAAGAATCCTCATCACATTCACAAGGTTGCTTTAAAGTTGGTATTCTGTTCGCTCTTTGCATTAGTTGCAGTATTCACTTTGTTAGTTGGGATGAGTGACCATGATGAATTTGATATTCATTATCCGGTGCCAACTTAAGTCTACTAAGTCTGATGTATCAGATTCCTTTTTCTTGTAGGAAATTAAGATTACCAATAGTTTTTCCTCAACATTTATGTTCATGATCTGTACACTTTAACGTATCATTATCAAGCAAACATTGGATGGGAAGTTGATTGTATTTTCTGATATAATTGATTCTCAATTCCTTGTCCAAGAGGAGCTGTGTCGTATATTCCTCTAACCTCTATATTCCTTCTTCCACTTTTTCCTCCTACCAAACAAGTCCTTAGTTGCTGTGATAGAATGAAAAAAAAAAAAAATACTTAATGAAAAAATGAAAAGATATCGACTTAGTACTCAATACATTTCGAATTATTATATTAAAAGAATTTCCGTAGGTGAAAATTGGTGTTGCTAGTAAATGACTCCATTATTCAGACTCATTCTCATTCTTACTAGTCACTACAACAATAGTTGCTCCATAGGGAAGGCAGAGTATGATATCTTTATATAATACTGTTATACAAAACGGAAAATAATAGAGAGAAAATTTAAAAAAAAAAAAAAAAAAAAGGGACAGACAGAAAGAAAGCAGATGGAATAATAGTATTTGAAAGATTATTACAAATTATCATGCTCAATAACTTGAGCCCCTCTCCAATCTTCACCCGGTTTGACAATTACAGGCACCAGCATTGAAGCAGGTCCAGTGCACACAAAATGCTCCTTGCCGTATTTCTCTGCCAACGAACCAGGGCTCGACACGTAGATGTCTTCGAACCCCATCCTTATCACCCGAAAGAATAGCTCACGCCCCTGCCAGTGCAGATTGGTTAAGAAGTTAAGTTGCCATTACAGATGTTGCTAAAAAAAAAGATATTATTATTATTCTTTCTTACTAAATTTTGTGTCGCACATAAATAAATTAAACCAAAAGTAGTAAAAGAAAAATTTGTGAGGATCAAAAAAGAGTAGAGAGTAATACCTGATCGAGGGTCTCATAGTAAGAAGGTGGAGTGTTATAAATAGGCTTCAACCTCTCCTGAGGAGGAGCGGCATAGACCCTACTAAGCTTGTTCTTGAGAATGGTGAAAGGAACGTCTTGTTCGGTCCAGACACCGGGTTTGTTCTCTGGCTCGGGACCAAAAAAGAGCCAATCAGAAAGAGGGGAAGGATCGGGTTTCATGGTTTCAGCGGGGGAGAACAACTCCAAGGGAGAGGAGAGAGGGGGGTGAGTGCAGTAGGTGCAGCCTCTGAGGCCTTGAATTGCAGCCCCATTCCTTCTCTTGAACTTGAAATGGCTGAGTATTGCATTGGTCATTGTCACATCTTTCATGCCTTTGTTCTTTACTATCACTGCTGTCGCCATACTCACTGGATACAGTGTCACGACATATGTCAGGTCTAGCGATCCACTGCTGCAGCTCAATTCAACCTTCAATGTACACACCACGCAAACAAAATAAAAAATAAAAAAAAATAAAAAAAAGAAATGTAACAACTGGACTCATTTAAAATTAATAATATGTCCAAAAAAAAAAAAAAAGCGAACCGGATAAGAAATCCCTATCACGTATATGACAGTATACATATACACATATATGTGATTACATGGAAGAAAAACTTCCATTAAAAGAAGGGAATTAAACCTGAAGAGCATCGATGGCGTCGGAGTCAACGTCTTTGACGGTCCACTGAGAAGCAGAGAGAAGTGAAGTAGAAGTAGAAGCACTCGTCTTAGTCTTGGTTTTGGAATAATTAGGTGGCGTCGGAGGAGGCGCAGAGACATCGTTGAGGACCAAAGCAATGCCGCCTTTGGCACCGGCACCGGCAGTAGCAGCAGTAGTAGTGTAGAGAACTTCTTCAAAACCATCATCCTTCCAGTGAACCTTTGGCTTGTAAGATGTCACATGTGCGTTTGGTATTTGCAGCCTCAGAGAGCTTCCGTTTCTCACTGTCAGCTCAACCAGTGGTATTGAATTTTGGTTGTCGTTTGACGACTCCGAGAACTTTATCCCTTTCCT